TGGCTGTTCTTCAGGGACAGCTCTTCACACTGTATTGATATAATTTATGCACATAATTTCAATTATTCTAGACAAGGTAGAGCGTAGAGAATGTGGTGTGTCTGTGTTACTCTACTATTAAGTACATTTGAGTACACAGAGTACTTCATAAATTTAAACCTATGTACTTTAACCAATTACTGGAGTACCTGATAAATTACCTGAAAACTTACTTTGTGCTCAAAGAGTATATGACCTCAGGCATGAGGAGGACACATTTTCATACAAAACAAAGCAAAGTAATACCCAAATCAACAGGAAAAAAAAAAATAACACTTTGATCACTATCACTGCTGCTGTATATTTGGTATCCCATGTCCATGCCAAGACTGGGAAGGTGTTGTGTGAGATATTCTACAAAAGCTTTGGTTAGACCTAGCCTCTGCACAAAGAATTTACAATATAAACACATCTGTTTGCACATGAGGGTCAGTTCACCCAGAAACTTCTGTAATTGCAGCTGCCCAGCTGCGCGTGCCAGGCTGCAGCGTGTGCATGTCAAGGCCATCTTCTGTGTGGTTCGCGCTGAAGCATCTTGAGTGTTTTGATTGCATGGGTGGTTGTACAGTCACAAGCGGGGACACCAAAGGGGAAATGGAGAGAAAATAAAAAATATCTTGCGTTATCTAAGTATGGGAGAAAATTGAGATGATAAAGCAAGATTTTCACGTTCTAAAAAAGGAGTTAGACTACAGGATTAGAATGTGCCTTTCTAAAGCATGTTAGAGAGGAGGAAATTATCCATCCACACTGCTACTTAAAGGGACATACATTTTCAGTTGTCATTACAGAAAATACAGGTCACGGTTGTTAACTACTGACCCAAACCACTTTTGTGTGTGCAGAATGCTAGAAACAGAATTGTCCTGGTTCCAGTATCAATTGGATGATCCATCCATGCCACTTTGCTTTTAGGTAGTACTGCAAGAGTCACAGTCTTGCATAGGTTAATTACAGATCTTACATAAATGCTCATATACAAAAGACCCACGTGTTTAAATTCTAGGTTGAGAGTGGATTCAGCCATGATCTCTGCCTTCTTTATTTCCCTTGCTTCATTCCTTTTGGGACTAACTCAGAATATCATGACTAGAAAACTGTCATACCATACCATAATCTGTGGTTTCATGGGCACTGCTCTCAGTGGCTCAGTTATTAATGAATAACAGTTCTTCATCAAGTGGATACCATTAGCAACAATACTTTGAAGGCAAATTACAGCAGCATTAGTGACATATGTGTATGAAATTATTTAAACTGACCTCCTCCACGTGGGTGCTGCTTATTTGTTGTTTGTGGGGTGCCTGCCCCAGATGCATCTGATCTGGGTTGGCATCCCTCAGCACTATCATAAAACTGGCAATGAATAAAACTGCTCAATATGTGGATTTTTATTTAACAAAATTTCATTCCTTTTCAACAGGTTTCACTGTGCTAGTTCTTCTGGAATGCAAACGTGCCACGGACAGGCGAAATGTGAGAAATTCCTAAGGGGTTATCACTTTCATCTCCTTTATGTAGCCAGCATGGAGAAAGAAAAGGCTTACTTATTGTGCAGAGGAAAAATCTGCTTTAAGTCGTCCAGCAACTGTTTCCAGTATATGAAGATGACCTTGCCTGGAGTCAGAAAGTGCATTCTCCACATACTATGAAAGTGGATAAAAAATATTTCCAAAAAATTCTTGGCTTATGGAGAAGATTGAGACACCATTTTCAGGCAGGCTTTTGTTTTTGTGAAACTACTTGCAGTTTTATTTTGTAGGAGTAAAACACAAAATAACTTTGGATAAATTTATAATCCTTATGTTAATTAGATATCATTAATTTGCCTAGAATGCATCTAGGTTAACATTCTTGATTCAGTGTAGCCCTCTGAGGCTCTCTGTTTAAGAAACATTTCTGTAAAGCAGTTCAGATTATTCAACAGATGATTAAGGGAAGCATAATGTTTTTAAAAACAACGTTATGCTTGTTTCCCTTAGCAGCCCAATCCACTCTGGAGAGAAGTGCTTGATCGGAGGTAACCTTTGCAGCAGACAAATGCCATTTGTTGTCCCTATGAAAAACTGGTCCAAATCCAAGTTAAAAACTTCCAGCAAAAAATAATCATAAATTCACACATACTCAGTGGCAGGCACTCAATAGCATATGGCAGCTAAATACGCCAAGGATTCCTTAGAGCATACGCCATCACTTAGCAGCTCCTAGTTGCCAACCTGCTTGTGCTTGTGACACCCCTCAGGGACCAAGCTCCTACCTGTGCCCTCTGCAGGCCCTAAGCTGGTCTTTTCCTGCAATTTGTGCTTTCCATAGACAAGGGACATCCTGACTGTAAGAGCTCAGCTTCTCCATGTTTTTTGTGATAAGACTGCATCTTCCCTTGTGTGGTCTGTGCCATCATGTACATTACAAGAGATCCACCTTCATGTTTTATGGGCTGTCTTAACTCAGACATTTCTGAATGCTCTGTAACTAGAGTTTTGCAGATTCATTCTTCTAATTTTAATGTCATCTTACTTTTTTCTGATTTTCTAAATGTAATCTTAGGTCAAAAAATTGTGTCTTGATATACATATGTGTGCTTTTGTCAAACCTCTGACTTTGGTGAAGAAGTAAAAGGCTCAAACACCAGTACTGTAGATGCTGAAATCTTGTGTGAGGCAAGGCTTGTACAAAAATATAGTATTTTTATTAGACTAATGGATATATTTGGAGAAAACCCCCCAAACTTAGAGTCCTTTACGAGCCCTTCTTCAGATCTGAAATAAAAGCAGTAATCCTGAAAGATCTGCTAACTTCCATCAAGTCAAGCTCATGTTTTATCCAAATTTGTCCAATATATTTTACTACTTTGCCATGATACTCCATAACCAATGTCCATATTAAATGCCAACAAAACAAAAGTGTCCAACAAAGACTTTGGGTTTAGCAGGTTTTGATATGAAGTGTTTACCTTTGGTTATGGGTGCTACCATTCATTCTTTCTGACGGAGAAGTGATGCAGGGGAATATCATGCCATGCACAGGAATCCCCATCAAAAGGTGTAGAGAGTTTACATAAAAACTGCTGGCAGGAAATGGCCACCAGTGACTGACTTTCTTAACATCCCCCTGCGAAGCTGTGCAACTCATGGGCCAGCAGTGCTGCTTCCACAACGGAGATCCTGGAATGTTTATTTACCTTTTTTTTCTTTTTTTGCGTAGCTCACACATTCCCACTAGGCTTACACTCATACAGTCCCGTGACTCTTCATCAGTTCTGTTGCCATCAGGTCTCCTAGAATCAATAAAAACCCCACACGTCATAGTTTTGTGCAAAAGCAAAGACAGCAGCTCTGGTGGATGCATGTCAGAATTTGTACAGAACAGATTTAATAGGATCATCTTTCATAGCTATCACTCTAAAAGACCCAGCTGCTGAAAGCAGACATATATCAGAAATTAACGGATACATAATATCATTCTTGATTAAATCATTGTTGTTGATATCACATAAATGAACTATTAAACCAATAAAGTTTTCTTTCATTAGTTTGAAAAGACCAAGGATATAGATATTACTCAAAAATATGAAGAGCCAAGAATATTGCACCTTACTGTGGCATAACCTTGTAACTACAGCTGTGAATTCTAACATCAGCTGTGTGACTTACAATTTACAAAATAGGGAATGATCTAATATATGGTTCTCATTTAAAGGGATTCTCAGACTGATTCTCCAGTACTCTAGAGCTCTAAACTGCAAATGGTAGGGTTTGATCTGCATTTCTTTTGACCCTCCTTGAGCAAAAAGCATTTGCTTTTTGATGACATTTTTGAGGAACACAAATACCTACATGAGATCCTGAGCGTTATTGTCTTAGCGACCTCAGCATTTAAACTCAAGTCAGTGGAAAAAGAGGATCAAAGACTATTCCAGGGCATGCTAAAATGTAACTCAAGTAGATGTCAGTGTGCAAAAAGGTTTCACACTTTTGTCTGGGTACTTTGACTCTTTTAGGAAACAAAAAGCAAAACCACAAACCAGGTACCAAACCCTAGGTCAAGATCCATTAAAATGTTTTTTTCAAAGCACCATTGCTCCTCCTGCTCACCCACTCATTTTTGCTCAATTGATCACTATGGTATAAGTCAGGATTTTTCTGCATAGCTTGTTAAACATGCCAATTTGACAGGCTGTTTTAGGAAAAGGCTTCTGCTTTTGCTGTTTAGTTTAGCAGACGCTCGCTTGCAGTTCTGCACTCGCAGCATAGGGGATTAAGGAGACAGAAAGATCTCCAGGAGGGAATATGACATTTGTCCAGTGTAAACCCAGCTGCATCCAATAAGCATTCCCGTCAAGGACAGTCCCCAGTTCAGTTATCCATTTGCCAAATCAATTTGACATCATCTTTTGCTTGGAAAAATAAGTGGTCTAGTTCTGCATTCAAGGAATAGGATTAGCCAGCGCTGGAGATACAACGGAGAGGATGGAAGGATGCGGGTAACAGTGCAAAGCAGATCAGTATGGTAAGATACAAAGGTTTCCTAAGTACACTGCTTTGTACATTGTAAATTGCTGAGTACAAAGGAAAAAAAAACAATATCTAGAAAGTTTGTAAAATAATCACAAGCCAAACTGTAAGCCTTTCAAAACTTTATATCTCTAGCTGGCACAGCTAGTAGATATGTGAGAGAAGCACTAGAAAGTGGAGAGAAAACTCTGAGGGGAACCTTAGTGTTCTCCATCTGTCATGGGATAAATAGGTCTTATTGATCATCTACCACTTGATTTATACTAAATGCTTTCAAGCATTGCACATTTGTAATTTTTCAAATACAAGAATACTTAAACTTTGATTTATGAGTAGTACACAAACACAGGTAACTTAGGTTTTTGTCTGATCTTTAAAAAATGTGTACCAACCAGCAGCACTCAGCTGTACAACAGATATTCAGAAAGTGAACAGAATGTTTTAGCTTTAAAATAATAGCTGCCTGAATTTTGGGGTTTTGGGGGGGTCTGAATAATGCAAGAGGAAGAGTGAAAAAGCTTTGGTGTTGGTTGTAGCTGTGTTTTTACTGTTTGTAATACTGGGTCACAGAAGATACAAAGGTTTTACAGCCCCACTATAAAACAGCTCTTTATCTTTTCTCTGCTAATTCTGTGGTGTCACATTTAACAAAACTAGGAAACTGGAGATAATATGGATGTTTGCAGATTAGATGTCAGGTAATAAATAACACTAATTTCACATACCTACAAATACAAAGGCACCTTATCACTGTTTAAGTTTCTCACTCTTTGTAATACCTGCCAACATTTTAACCCAGGCAAATTACGGTATTGTTTTTGCTGTTTTTTCACTGGGATAAAATACACAGTCATAATATCCTTTTATCAGATTTCATGGTATAAAAGGACTTTGGTGCTTAATTCAAGCTGTATGTTGCCGAGACAATTTCAGAGCTCGTTTTGGAAGATGTATTTATCTTACCTTTTAGTAGTCATCTTTTCTTTTCACAGTGGTCTAAGTACCACTTGCCCAAGAAGATGCAGCTGTGACCCTGCCCAGTCAGTGCAATGCTACAGAGCTACGGAGATCCCCAGAGAGATTCCTTTTACCACCAGGAGACTCTACATAAGTCACAGCAAAATTAAACAACTCCAGGTAGGAAAAAATCCAGTAAAAATCCTTTCTGTAGTGTGCTGTAACTGCAAGCTGTGCTTCCCAGATGGTGGTGACTTTCAAGTGAAGGCAGAATATTATTCCATGTTCTAAAAACTGATGAAATGCTGCCAGATCTGGGTTTATTTTTACTTACTTTTTAAGGATATGTAAATATATTTCTATAGTGTTTTCATTACCCTGCAGTCTCTGAGCACCAGTTCATGCTGCCACAATGATATTTTGTATGCAACTCACAAAATAGTAATTTACAACTAGGAGCCAAATGTTGACTTGGTTTTTATATGGTCAAATAACCATTGACTTCCAGAGTAATTTTTTAACTTGTTAGAAGCTTTTGCTACTTTTGATACAATATAATACTTTTTCACAGTAAATAGAAAGGTTTTATGTGGCTAGAATTGTTTCCTTAATGAATGAAACTGAAGTTCTTTTCCCCCTCTTGAGTTGCAAGTGTCAGGTACAACTGCTATTAGAAATGGCAGAGGGAGTAAGTAGGTTAGAGTCTAAGGCAGAGCGTGAGATGTTTCTAAAAGCAATGCTAGGGCTATCTAATAACCCATATAAACAACAGCAGCTTCTAACTGAAGCTGCCGGCTATTTGTGTTATTTAAAAAGTTTATTCTGGGTGTCTTGAGGCATCACTGGATCACATTATTAAAGGCATGATCTGTTTATGCTTATTTTGCACTGTACTCTGGAATGGTGCTTCTCTGTTTCCTACCCTGAAATATATTTATTTAATAAATTCAACTTCTGTAGATAGACACAAGGGAAATACAACCACCTGTATTACACATGCTTGCTGTGTATCAATTTACTACAAATAATAAGAAATGTTCGATTCAAAAGAGACAGATACATTTTCTCTTAAGTATGCTTGTCCTCTTACAAATAATATAACTTTAGCTGCTCTGAAATGCATCTTTGATTTTGCTCTCAGGTTTGAATGAAAAAGGCTAGAAGGCAGCTTAGAGCAGCATCTGGGATACTTGTTGCCCACTGAGAAATAGTCAGTAATTTTACAATTTAACTCTGACAAAGATTTTACTTCTCTTTTAGCCCCTACTAATATCTCTGGTTTTCTTGGTTTAGCTCCCATACCTACAAGAGTCAAAGTTCATTGGTGTAATTTAGCTATACTGATGTGCTATAGTTAAACAAAAGATCTGTCAAATGAATTCTTTAATAGGAAATAAATTTTCTGTGCAAAACCCCCCGATTATTTTCTGTCCAAGATAAGGAAGACGAGCCATTTTTCCTTTCTTAGGCTAGTTGCCCATACCTGTCAGGTACTCCTCAGATACTAGAAAAGTGGCCTTAGGTTCTGACTAGAGCAAAAGACAGGTATTGTAAAGCATTTAAATGTTGGATATAAGTGAATAGGGTAATGGAATAAATGTTTTATGTTCAGAACAAATGGTGCGTGAAACCGTCTAAGGACAGAGTTTTTCACTTTGTACATTAATTCAACTGAGCAATCAGTGTGCCTTACTTCTGACTTTGCACCGAAAGGAAGTCAGTCCTTTCATGCTATCTGCCTGTAGTTATGTAGATCCTTTCCTTAAGATTAGACTAGGTCTGTGAATATATTTTTCACTTTTCTTTCCATGCAACAAATTATGCTTCTGAGGTCTTGGCATCATAAATACATATGCTTAATTTTACACAGCTGAGCAATTCCACTGGCATATATCATAGTGCTTGTAGAAACAGGTTTTGATTTCTGCTTGTAACGTACATGTCTGGAAGCACTGAAAGAACTCTATAGGGGTTTTTTGGGGTTTTGGTTTGTTTTGGTTTGTTTGGTTTTTAAATTCCTTCATTTACCTTATCTTAGAGGAGACAACATATTTTCAAAAAGAAGCTGAACGGAAGCCTAGGCTTTCCACAGCTGACCTCCAACAGACTTTTATATGTAAGCATTCACATATACTATGGTTTGGCAATTAGCTGCCTCAGAAGAAGAAACAAATATTGTTTCAAACTGAGCACCAATTACTTTTGGATATTACTTTGCATTGGCTATTATTAAAATTGTAAAGAAATTAAAAATAAAAGAAGATTTGTTTGTATGCTAAATACAGTATGTTTTGAAGAAAAACAAGAAAAAAAGTAGATCTTTTTTACCCCAATCAACTTCGTATTTGTTCTGACAGGGTTGATCATCATTGAAAACACTGGATGGGATTTTGGCTTTTGGTATTTTTACAAACTGGGTTTTTTTATAAATAGACTTCATAATAACAAAACTAGATTATTTTTAGCATCTTTTTTCAATAATTTCTGCCTCCTCCTTGATTTGAAGACCAACTATAACCTGTTTACTCTCACTTTAAGATTTAATTTATTTCTAACTGTATTAATACCTGGGGTTTTATCTGCTAAAAGAAAATTGTTTACCTGGCCCCCACAATAGGGGACTGATTTAAGAAACTGCTTATAACAAATCACAGTTCACAAAAATTCTAAAAGAAAAAAAAAGTTATTAAAAATGACAAAATTATTAAAATGTTTCTATTAAAATAACAGTGTCTTAGATCCATTTTCAGGAGATCTACTTTTTAAAATGTAAAACTATATTAGTATCACTGTACAGACAGTCCAGCTAAAGAATAAAACATCACTTTGTAGCAAAAAGAGAGCTGACAGGCTTTCAAATATGTCTTGATTCACAGTAGAAAGACTGGGTGGTTTGTAACAGCATGGATAAATGTTTAAGTCTCAAAACAGCATGGTCACAAAGCCTGGCAAAGCATACCAAATAGGTGGAAAATAGAAATTATAATAATCCACATTAAGAAGCCTAACAGCATTACAGAATAAATGTTTGTACATTGACCTTCACATAGCTCTCTGTCACTTAATAAGATGAAAATTAAGCCTCTTAGAGACATACAGCAATCAACTGAGGAAAAACAGGAAATATGGCTTTTGAACTTACAGGAGAAAACATGTTGAACTTATGAAGGTTCACATTTGTTTCAGTTTCCTTAAGACTGTTTTATCACTTACATATGACTATGTTTTTCTGCTCTTGAGCAATGCAGTTCATTCCTATGGGACTTCTCATGATGAAGCTTTGCAAGATTAGCCTCCTAATCATGTCCAAAACTGGACATGCAAGTCTGTAATTGCTATTTAGCAATATCTATATTACAAAACTGCATTTATAGAAAAAATAGAAAATGGACAACTTTGTTATTTACTGTTGAGAATATAAGGTTTTTTATGGAGGTACACTCCAAAATGAAACCTGACTCCTCTTTCACAGATGTGCGGGCTCTAATTCTAACAGAAGTTAAAATGCCGAGTTTGTAGCTAAGGTAAAGAGATACAACCCAAAAACATGCAAGGGTTGGGTCAATTAAGCTCGAAGACATCTTTTAACAGTCACCTTTATAAGCTGATTTCACATACACAAGTACAATAGCCAAATGTATTCAATCAGGATCATAGAACAAAATTACTACCCAGTACCTGCACTGCAAAAGGACTTGTACTGCCTTCCGTGTAGATTCCTGACTGGGATGAGGGGTTAGGCTGTAGAACATGCTTTATAGCTTCTCTCAATGAGAGTAAAATACTGCTGGTAGCTATTCAGCCCTGGGGGAAATAGCATGAAGACTACAGTGCTAGTTTAACATCTCTTACTGATGTGGTACTCCCGAGACCTGTAGTGAGATGTTTATTTGACGTGGGGGGGGGGAAATGGATGAGGACACTCCTTCCCACCTCTCCCATGCAGAACACCTGCTCATCTTGCTCTGAGCTTTCTGTGATTCCCATATAAATGAATTTTTAAAAATCAAGCACCTAGGTCAAGGGCAGCATCTCTGATAAGTTCAGAAAACTGCTGTTGAAGCAACTGGTGTGCTCAGATAACTCCTGGGTTCACCCTCATTTCATGCTTCCTCATATCTCTTGGCTTGGAGGAAACTGCCAGATTCACTTGAGTTTGCTTCTTAACTTGAGACACAAGATGGCAAGCTTTGTAAACAAGCAGGTTCCAACAGAGCAGAAAAATAATGAAACAATTAGCATGCCTCTATATTATAGCCACAGTGAACACCTAAAATCCATTTACCACTCCAGAGCATCTGTTTATTACCAGATAACAAAAACTAAGTTCCTGTAAAGGCAATCTGTTCCACAGAGGTGATTTTCAGACCAAGCTGATCTGACACGTTGGTGTCAGATGGTTTGGCCATCTTAATATGTGAGGTTTTTACTTTAAAGAAAAGGAGAGATAGTGGGGGGAGAGATGAAATACAGGTGTCAGATTTCAGTTTCCTGCCAAAACTTTATAGTAGGGAGAGGTGATGATATCCATGTGTACTTCCTCTGGGGAATACACACTGCAGTGACAATATGGCTGATATATGGAAATGGCTGTACGATGAACTCAAAACTGCTCCAGCAAGCTCTGTTGAGCACCGTGAACATTAACAACCACCTACTCTCTGCAAAGATTTCTGCCACTGGTGACACTAGCTCTCCATTTTACACAGGCTATCCACTCGGCAGAAATAAAAATAATATTCCTTCTTCAAACGTGTGTTTGCTCAAAACCAGACACAACGTGGACTTAAACAAAATTACAGAAATGTAAGTAAATACTGGCAAACCATAGGTACCTATAGTAACACCTCTATCGCTATCATTTCTCTTTGTTTCTCATTCTAAATATATAATTTCTCAGTATATACTAGCAATTGTCGGAGCATCCAGAAGAAGTAACCAGTGAGGAGATCCATAAATAGATGGTGTATTATCACATGAATTTTTTTTTTCTCTTTAAGATTACTGACTTCAGGAGAATGTCAGCCCTCGAAGAGCTGGTCCTATCATGCAGTGGCACAGAATCAATAGAAAACAACACTTTCAAAGCTCTGAGCACCTTGAAGTCCCTGGAACTCTACAAAAATCAGCTAAAGCAAATACCCGCCTTCCTCCCATCTGGCCTTGAAATTTTAAAACTCGCCGATAACTCCATCAACGCTCTGCATGAGTCTGATTTTGAAGGTTTGATGAAGCTAAGGGTGCTCGATATTCGGAACAACTTGATTGCAACTCTGCCTCCGAGTGCATTTTCTTCCCTTTGCAATTTACAAAGTCTGATTCTGGATGGCAACAACATGGAATCTGTGTCTGCACCACTTAAGCTTCCTAGGCTGAAGTATCTGAGCATGGCCGATAATAAACTGAACTCGTTCCCAACCAACTTCTTTGCATCCTTCCAAAATCTACAGTTTCTCAGTTTAAGTGGCAACTTTTTGACAAAAGTGCCTCTTGACCTACCTAAATCCCTGCTGTCACTAAAATTAGAGAAAAACCAACTCAAAACAATAAGACTTCGAGACGTGAAACACCTAGAAAACCTGTCTGAGTTCTTCCTGTCAGAAAATCAGCTAACATCAATAGATGGTGCCCAGCTTCTTCCGAACTTAACAACACTGGAGCTCGCTAAGAACCGGCTACACACTATGCCACCCAGGCTGCCCGGCAGACTGCAGAAGCTCGACTGCAGCAATAACCTGATTCAAAGGGTGACAGCGCAGGACTTCCAAGGACTACAAGACCTCAAGCACTTGTTTCTTGACAACAATGCTGTTAGCATGTTTGAGGCGGGAGCTCTTCAGCAGTGTGCGCAGCTTTCGAATCTGGCACTGGAACAGAATCTCCTCATTTCTATTCCACTCAGGCAAGTGAATCTGAGGACAGCTGGTTCCCAGGTGTCACCTCTCCTTCCTTATGTTATAAGAATGAGGGCCAAACTGGGAGAAAAATTGCATTCAGACCCAGTCATGGTAGAAGTCTATCCATACCATAAACCCGCTGCCATAACTGGCACTAATTAGCACTCCTGTAAGCAGTCTCAGCATAGAAGTAGAGCTGTTTTCATTAGATCTCTGGCCCCCAGTGAATCTGCTCATTTCACATCTCTCCCTGCCCAGTGAGACTACTTTGTTTAATTAGCACACGCATAAGAGGAACCTGCTAGGAGAATATAACAGAATGATTACAGAGAAGTTGTACTGCTGCTTAGATTTATCTTCTCCCATAACACAAAATTAATAGAGCATTCAATAGAAAAGAAAGGCAGCAATTTTAAGGCTGATATTTCTACCAACCCACACTGAGTTTATTATTGTTAAAATATTAAGATTTCAGGAGCTGAGTCTAGTCAAAAAGAATGTGCTTTTTCAGTGGATATTAGCATTCTCAACTTCATTAAATTCACACATTACAAAGTATTTGGAATGCGTATAAGCTCTCCGGCTTCAGGCTATAAGCAAAATTCCAGTTAAAGGAGCGCAGAAGAAACATCCCTTGGGCACACTGTGTTCACTAATGCCCTGCTTACAGGTTCTCTCACATTCATCTGAGTGTTGGTCCTGGCCATTATCAGAGACGGCATATTAAGCCAAATGGAGGCTGGTCTGATATAAAGCGGCAACTTTATTATTTCAAAAAGCTGTGCAATAAGATGGCATAAAAATAGCAAAGTAATTCCATTAACATCAACTTTTTTAACACAACTGCACTATTAAATTTTATTTTTATGGCTTGTGGACAGGTTTAACTAGCCCAAATAAATAATGCAGTAAAATTTCAATTCGTTTAGCATCAGGTCCTTTAGCATTTGAATCTATTTGGCAGCAGCTTTATAACCAGAAAGTGATTTAGTGGTGTATAAATAGTTGATTTCAGTCTAGCTTGAGAGGAACGTTTAATGCTTTCTAGTTACTTTAGTATTGTCTAATCCATCTTATTTTACAACCTTCGTAGTCAAGAGAATTAACAGGAAGGAGTTCTCTATTAGCCTTTTAAGGAGATATTGGGGACTTTTATTTTCAACTCAGCAATGAATATAGATTTCAAGGGGAGGCTGTAAACGTAAAAGAGGGAAAAAATGACAGGAAGTAAAATTTATTTTTATTATTATTTTTTATTATTAATTTAATTGCCTGCTGGTTACCAGGTACAGACAGATATACAGAAATAAAAGTATTACTTCTGACAGTTACCTGAGAACTCAGTTGCCAGTGTCAAAGGCTAAAAAATATAGTTAATGTGCCACAGTTAATGGGTCTTATCAGTTATTCGGCAGGAATGAGGAGAAAGACAGCTTCTTTTGTTTTTTTCTGAGAAGAAAATAATGCACTTCACTTGGGTGGTGAAACACTGGAACAGGTTGCCTAGAGAGGTGAAGAAGTACTTAAGGAACAGCATTGCCATGCTTCTCTAAACTTTTGGTCTTTAATGCTGCTCTAATTTGGTCATTGGCATACTTATGGCATTAAAGAGTACAAAATGCATTTTTAAGGTTGACATTCAATTGAACATGTAACTTTCTTCATAGTACAGTAGGTGTAAAATTGCTCTTTAGTTCAGTTGCAGAAACACAGTCAGTACAGGTCAGAACTGCAATAATTTCGGAAATCAGTTCAAGTGTGCATAGACAATATTCCTATAACTTAAAAAAAAAATCACATGAAAATTTCAGGACCACATCTTTTATGCAGAAGATTGCATTTTTGTTAGTGATAGTTTTATTTAATATGTCAGATGTGTCTGGGCAAATACTCACCACCAAATACCACTTACACAAACAGCATCAATATGATGAACATAACACATTTGTGTTGTTTTATTTTTATTCAGACTTCCAGACACCCTTGCTAGATTGGATCTAAAGGGAAATGACATAGAGGATGTTGGAGAACAAGAGCTGAAGGACTTGAAACAGCTTCAGGTTCTAAATTTACGGAACAACAAGATATCTGCCTTGGACCGCAAAGTCTTAGAGTATTTACCTCGTCTCCGTCATCTGTATTTAGATGGAAACCCCTGGAACTGCACCTGTGACCTTCTCAGAACCAGAAGAGCGCTGGTGGCCAAAGGAACGGATGTCAGGGGAGGACAGTGCGCGGCGCCGGCAGAAAGCCGAGGAGAAAGTTGGATGTCTTCCAAAAAGATTCTGCAGCAGTGTGAAGATAATCTGTCTTCCATAGAAAGGGGCAAAGAGGACAGAAAGAAAATGAAACCAAATGAGGCCTCCAGCATTGGAGTAAACACAGATGATGATTACTATGATTATGAATTAGATTAACCCCATGGTTAATCTATGGTGAACCATAAGGTTGTCCAGAGCTGCCCTCTACCACCAGCCTCTCTACTGACAACCAGCCTGCTGGTCTGCTGTTAATTTTTCCTCTTTAATTTGTACTATAAGACTTAATAGCTGGTGACAGAAGGGCTATAGGAAGGATGCCATTGTAAACTGAAAATCGTAAAAAAAATAGTTTTTCTACGCCATTAGCACTATGTAGTTTGAGAGAAGTAAGAATACAATTACTATCTCCTAGAAAAACAGTCTATAACTCTGTATGGACCTTTTTATACTAGAGCATTCTTATGCATAACCCCCCCACCCCTAAATAAAATCCTGCAATACCACAAGATACTATTACTAGGAGTCTGGCATTCAACACATTTAAACTCACAGGTCTGCAGTTCAAAGTGGAGAGTTACACTGACGTGGGCAATTTCTCAGGATTATTCAGAGGTTCTTGCTTTTGAGAAATGAATTTCAGTTTTCCAGAAATATTTGCCTCTTTTATTCAGAGTATTTTAAATGACATTAGACTAAATTAGCTGAGCTCCAGGCAAAACACACAAGGCTCATCTTCATCACAGTAAATGCAACAAAGAGAAGAATCAGTGTCCTGGTTAATGAGATTTAATACTAGTTCCAAAGTTAATTAATAGTGAGGAATAAAAACACTGGGGTCAATTTGACCCAATTCTATTGTTGTAAACAGAAGAGGGGAGATTGTCAGGAAATAGATCCCTACCTCTAGCAAATATTAAGATAAGATCAAGGGAGACGAAGTTTTTGGAAGAGTTTATTTTGGTAGCTGAATAGCTAATCGACTACAACATAGCTCAAGATGCTGTGTGTATACATTTGGGTGAGGTGTACTTCACATGGGAGCACACACTGCAAGTGCTCCCTTTCACTGGTAGGAACCTTCCAGACTTTTGCATGCAAAAAAAGGACTCGATATATGCATCAACTCTGATGTACGTACAAGTTTTATCAAGCAGTTCCCAAAGTGCTTGAAAACTAAACAAAATTGGATTACCGAGGCCACTAAACCCAGTGACTTACAAACAGTAATGTAAGGCGCTTCCTGGCAGTTCATAAATCTCCGCTGATAACTGAGGAGTAATAACACCAGCAAATTACTTTTCAAAGCAAACAGTTTCCATTCTTCTTTATCTTCTGTTGGCATTCAGTAACTGAGTAATCACTCACACTCACAGAGGCTGTTTTGTCAGGTGTCAGAGTGCAGCTATTTGGTTATGTTGCCTATGCAAATGCAGTCGACACTTGGGTTTCTTAGGAACCCAACGCATTGAGGTATACAACTGGAACAGAAAGACGTAAGTTTGTTTTTCTTTACATTTTTAACATATCATCAGCCACCCAAATTTTTGGCAGCTAAAGATTTAGATATTTATGGAACAGCACAAACCTTCCTAGCGGTTTGACTGCGTTATGTGTGCTGGCTAACGTTGGGAAGTCTGGGAAGCAGTTAGTTCCCGAGCAAGAAAAATATTTTCATGCTACAGTATTTTTCATTCCGTTTTATATTGGCGGATTCTTTTAATAGAGTACTTCAAATATTCCGCTGTCTCATTTCAGCCCGCCCATCTGTCTGACGGCACAGGGCTAGCTTCTGAGCTCTTGCTCTGGCGTTTGCCTGCAGAGGGGTTTGTGTCTTCGGGTCTGTGGGCCGTTCCGAGCCAAAGCAGCAAAGCCGCAGGAAGGGCAGGTTTTGTGGGAGAC